AAAAAATTAATTTACTTGAGTGTTAACTTTAAATTTTATATTTTATATTTAATTTATAAAATAATATTTAATTGTTAATAAATCTAATCTTGGTGTCCTTTGAGAAGAAATACTTGTCTAGAAAGAGTGCATCATATTTGGTTACTTATTATAACCTTAAGCAATTTTTTAATAAGCTACATCAAAAATTAACTCGACTTGAATCCAAGAAAATTGAATTAGTCAAAAGATGTTGCTTTACAATCTTATATTGTACTTGAAAATATGACGCCAATCAATATTTTTAAGGGTTAATTGGTGGCTTGGAGCTATCCACCAATGACTTTTATCTTTGCTTTTGATATGTTGCATCGCTGCATGGCTAAAGCACTGATGGACCATCAAAAGATGTTGCACTTACCTCCTTAGTTTATGAGCGCATTTTCATAATTTAAAGATTAAGTATATATTTTTTAATTGAATAGAGAATAATTTATATACAAGTCTTATATGATATATTTATATAAAATATTAATTATTTATTTATTCACTTTTAATTATTGAGATTTATTTATATTTATTAAAAATATATTTTTTATATAAAAAATCATAACAAATTTAAATTGTTGAAAGTAAAAAGATGAATAATTAAAATTTTATATAAATAAAATATATATAATATATATAAAGGTTCTTTTCTTTATATATATAAATATATTTTAAGTTTTAATATTAAAAAAATTGATTTTTTTTTAAAGAAAATTTTGAAAAATTGCGTGACGTAATGAGAGCATGAGCAAGGTGACAGTGATGACAGTGTAGATAACTTGGAAGCAATTGATAGGGCTATGGATGATGGGTGAAAGGTGATGGGTGGTAATGTATTTAATGCCCAACTAACCTTACCAATCTTTGGTTTGAAGTGGAAGCAAGGGATGGCTCGTGAACCCAATGGCCAAGCTAGTGGGGGTATGGGCTTGGGAAGTTGTCACACTGCCCAAGAGTTCAGGGCCTTGGGGTTTCTAGCAAGTTGTCTTTCAAGTAAAATTT